TGTTTCTTAGCCCCATCAATCACAATTCGTCAACATTTGATCATAAAAAATAACTGCATAGCTACATTGCTTACTAACAAGTTACTTTTATTGTTCTGTAACTAAGTTACTACAGTAACTCAGTTGCTTTTTAGGAGAAGTAACTACTATTTTTTTAAAGCAACATTTTAAACACTATAAACTCAAACGATAAAATCTATTGGAGACTGTATGTTTTGTCAAATATTTGGGAGCACAAACAAAATGTTTCTCATCTACTTTTAATAACGGGGGGGAGCAGTCACTCACACTGCAACACACCGCAACAGCGGAACTTTGCCCGCCCAAAACAAACCAGGGGGGCGGAGCTTGACCCCTTACTTCACACTATAACAGCTCTGATCTAAACAGCTCTTACATACTCTTTCCTTTTTTTTTTTCTAAAATTACGTTTATTGAGAAGCTCTTCATGAAGACTCAGAACAGTTTTCCTAACTGCCATCATCATCACTGCAGGTCTTTAAGCTGTGAGACACACAGTTTATCTTTGTCAGTCACAGGGAAGTCATCAGTCACACAGGAAGTGAGACAAGGTGAGAAAATAAAGCATTTATTTGATAGGAAAATAGAAAGTAAAACATTTAAACGTGTTTGTTCTGCTCTCGCTCTGACCCACAGTGTTCCAATTAGAAACCTGCTCTGTCTCATTGCCAGACTCAGGCTTACTATTCAATTCCTGGAGGTTGTACTCACCTAGAGTGTTCACAGTGACGACCTCGCTGAAGGGGCCTGTGCCTAGCTTATTCTGAGCCAGGACACTGAACTGGTAAGTTGTGTCTGGCTCCAAGCCCGACAACACCATCCAGTCCTGGCCTCCAGGTACGGGTATGGAGACCCAGTCATGTGGACCTAAACGCTCCCTCTTCAGCCTGAACAGAAGTCAAGGAGAGATGTGAGTGGACAAACAAGAAAGCGGAGATGGACACTAGAACAACACAACTGCCTTGGCTTTTATCTACTTGTTCCTAAACTTCTGAAAAAAATACCTTCAAGAACTCCTCAACACTACCTCAATGTTTACATTGAAGCTGTGGCAGAAAACAGTGAAGAAAGTTAAGAAAGGGCTAGAAAAATGTCCTGGGTACGGCCACGTCTATTATGTGGTCAGGTGGAGTGGATCTGGATACACGTCACCCTGCTGGTGCTTTCTACCCCTACAGCTCTGTGATCATTAATCAGAAGATCCTCACACCTGAACGCAGACTCCAATATGGCTGCCATTTGTAGTGTTATTATCATCACAGGAAGAAGCAGATCTATCGTCCAACTTGGAAAAACGTTTTGTCGGATGTGATTCTAGTTTCTTACTGCAGCATGAGCAGGTTTAAGTTAATTTAATAAAAAAAAATGATTAAACAAAAAGCCCCAAAGTCCTTTGGGACGACTACCAATTGTAGCTAATAAAGTCTAGAACAGAAGTCGGCAACCAGCGGCTCCAGACCTGCATGCGACTTCTTAACGCCCCCTTGTAGCTCCCTGGAGCTTTTTAAAAAATGTGTGCAAATGAAAAGACATGGATTTTTTTGTCTGTTTTAATATGGTGTGCAGGAGTTCAAACAAACTTTCTTTATGTTTTTCAATGCTGTATAAATGTGTATAATACATTTAAACAACTGTAAACATTTCATTTAAACAAAGCGGTGGGTGTGTCTCAGGCCATGGATCCCAGAGAGAAAAAAAGGAAGATAGCTGATGAGAACAGATGATTCAAAGAAGAATGGAGCAAATAATTTGCTTTCATTACCAATGAGGAAGGATTGCCTGCATGTTTGCTTTGGAATGAGAAGTTGTCAAATAATAAAAAGAGTCATTAGGAAAGGCCTTTCCAGGGAAGGCTAAATATGCAGCCCAACACCAAGCTGGGAGAGAAAAAGTCCGATTGCAGAACTTCTGGATAAATTAGAGGAGAGCATAGATAGAAGAAGTAGATTGCATCTCCAAACTCCACTACTGCTGCTAGTTTGGTTGAAGCATAGAAAACCGTTCATGGACCGAACATGTAGCACTCTGATGCAGGGATGGGAACTTTCTTCCATTTTTTCCCCCAATCCTCAAGATGAAAATAGAAATTAAAAATCTGATTTCTTTATTGTTTCTGCCATTTCATCACTGCAACAAAACATAATACACTAATATTGTAGTGGAATTTAAACTTAAAGTCGTAGGGAAGCGGCTGTTCCAACCTTTGCATTTCTGAATTCTCCCGAGTGGTGTCTAACTTTACATAAGTGAATAAAGTCATGTGATTGGTCGATTATCAAGGGGGCGGGATTGTTGTGGTTGAAGGTTCGAAAGCTAGTTTGGTTGTGGCCGGTTTGTCGGAAGCATCTAGCTAACCAGTTAGCAACTTAGTGCTAGCAGGTTCCCAATGGGAAATTCCATTGGGACCAAGTAGTACTAAATTGGTGCCTTAGAAACGACGCTGTCAAGGAACGCTATGGACAGAGGA